CAATTAACAACATACCAAAAACAGCGCTTGATAGCTTACTACTGCATCAGTTAAGAAGGTATAAAGTACAAGCAGCCCATACAATAAACAATAGCAATGGTAATCAAAGCATGAGAGCTTATGTCTATTTCGAGCGAGAAGTAGATATGATACAAGCCCAAAGATCAAGTATGTACTACTTTAATAAAAGATTAGAGTGGCAACTATCAACAGCAAAGCAGGAAAAGGGAAGCTATACCAAGAACTGGCTTTATAGAGAGATAGAACAATCTTGAAATAGAAGATGGTGCAGTTCAGCACAAATAGAAGGAAATGAATACCTCAAGGCAGAGAAACCCGAGAAAAGAAAAATAGAAATAGCTTTGTTGGCTACAAAAGAAAAGGAAAAGACTAGTAATAAAAAAAGAGCCATACAAAGCAAAGAGAATAATAATGCAGATCTAAATATCGAAAGGGCACCATTGAGTAAAAAAGACCAAAATAAAGAAAATATTCAGCCACTGCACCAACAAGAAGAAAAGAAGTATCAAAGCAAGGAGGTAAAAGGAAAAGAGAAAAAAGATTCAATATTCAGTGCTTTAATACAAATCTTAAATAGGCTAAATAAGCTCGAGGTCCAAAATGCATGGCCACATGGAGAAAACGCAGGGGCCCCTGTGGATCGCTTCTAAAAAGTGCCAGGGCGCACCAACAACGAAGATCAGGGTGTACAAAGAAAAAGAAAGAGAGTTATCAGTAAACACCCGGGTAACCAACTCTCGCAGAGTCCAGAGAGGTTTAAAGAACTAGAGAATTATAAAAAGGGATACGATTAGTTCGAGCTATTAAATATAGAGTTCTATAATATAAATGGCATTAAGGATAACAAAAATAAATTAAAAGTGATAATAAATTATGCAGAGAAGAAAAGGATAGACATTTTAGGGTTAGGTGAAACTAATATAGAGGACATTGAAGGCAAATGGGCAACTAAGAATATAGACAAATATAAAAGCTTCTGGCAAGTGCAAAAGAAAACAAGAAAAAAGGATCAGGCATCGGGGTTTTAATCAACAAGCATTGGGAGCACCACATCACTCACCTGACTTGAGACAATCCTTACTATATAAAGTTGGTGCTAGATTTTAAATATTTCATAATAGAGATAATCTTTCTATACATTACTCCAAATAATACAGCAAGGCAGGAAGAAATCTTTAATCTTCTAAAGGATATATTGGAAAGACCAAGCAGAAAACTGAAATGCCTCCTAATCATGAGAGATCTAAACATCAACACAGCAAATTTGACAACTACAAGCTCCTCTGAGTCAAACTCAAAACATCAAACAAAAAAGAAAATTTTGGCCTTGCTGAAAGAGAAGAATCTCTTTGATGTATACAAAGTTACACAAATACCTACATAGTCAAATGGAAACAGTGAGTCAAGAATTGACTATATGTGGGTGTCAAATAGTTGAAAGTACAATATGGTCAGCCCAAAGGTAGAGGATATGGACACATGCACAATGAGTGACTATAAACTACTACATACAAAAATTATCACAGAGCTAAAACTAAGGAAAACAGACATAGCTAAAAGAAGATGAGAAAAGTACAAAAGAGTTAATATAGAAATTGAAAAGGTATCAGAAGAAGATTAGGGCAACTACAAAGAGAATTTGAAAAAAAGACTCAAAAATCAGTAGCATAAGTGCAGGCCAACTAGTATAGATGATGAATAGGACATAATAGAGAAATGCATCATATTAGCAGCAAACAAAAGTCTTCTGAGAAAGAAAAAGATACCTAAAGTACAACAAAGCAGCAGAGAAGACGAAGAAGTAAGAGCACTAAAGTTGGCTGTAAGAGCATGTGATAGAGATTTCTGCAAGATCAAGAAGCGACCACTACAAAATAGTGAAGAAAATAAGATTCTAGCTGCTTTAGCATGTATAAAGAATTGGGCTGAACTAGAGACAGAGTCAGAAATTGATCTACTAAATAGAGAAGATCTGAAGAACTGGGCAAAGATCTTGCACAAGAAATGGCATCAAAAAGTTAGAAAAATAGAAGAGATAGAAATTAGAAAGAATATAGAAGAGAGACATAGCTTAATTGTGTTCAACTTGCGGAAAATGCTAAACAGCTTACTCAACCAGCCGCATAAACAAATAAGAATAGATAGAATTGTGAAATGCACAAAGGAGGAGGGTGAGTTAGTGCAAGAGTCAGATGAGGTACTCAAAGAAGTTAGAGAACATTTTAAAAAGCAGTTCCACAAGAGAAATATAACACATTTTGAGGCGCTAACACCAAGGTGGAGAAATCAGTACACCCCACGAGAAGATATCGAAGAGGCATGGTATGATAATATAGCGGATAGTATAAGTCTAGCCAAATGGAAGCAAGCATTAGACCAAGTGAAAACCAAGTCAGCCCCAGAAACATCAGGCATCACATATCCTTTAATTAAAAAAGTAAGCACAAACACAAGACAGGTCTTCTTAAATCTCGCCTCAAGATGCTTTAAAGAAAGTAGCATGCCAAAAAAGTGGAAATTAGAAACACTTTACCCAATACTCAAAACTAAAGACTAGTGTTTTAATCTAAATAACGTGCGGCCAATTCTCCTGCTAGAAGCTTTTAAGAAAATGGTGGTTAAAGTTCTAATGAACAGGTTAACAAAAGTTCTTCAAGAAAAGAAAATTCTAAAAGGCAGAAACTTTGCAGGCCTCCTGGAAGAGAGTACTATGGCACCAGTACAACTCATAAACTGCCTTATAGAAGAGGCAAAGGAGAAAAAAAAGAACTGTGGCTTCTGTTCCAAGACATAAAAAAAGCTTTTGACTTAGTAGAGCTAAAAATGCTCAGTCTCGCTTTACAAAGAATCAAGATTCCACAAATAACAATTGACTTTATTATAAACCTGTTTAAAATCTGGGAAATAGAGGTCTTAACAAGCCTGGGCACAACAGAAAGGTTTATAGCAGGAGACGGAATTGATCAAGGGGAGATGATTTCCCCTCTGGTTTGGAAAATATTTTATGATCTCTTGCAGAAATACAAAATAATGAAAAGCGAGGCAACTTGTTAGTAGATAGCATATGAGAACTACCTCTAAATGACAAGCACCAGGTTTGCAGTAAGTAATAAACTCTGAAACTGTCAGCAGGTAGTGTATGAGAACTATCTCTAAATAACAGGTACTGTCTTACAGTTTCTTCTTTCTTCAACTTATAAGCTAGAAGGTCGGTTTTTGCTATTTTTGTTAAAAAGTTTTTTCAGAAAAATTTAAACCAAGTGATTGTTGAAAAGAGTTTTGTGTGAATGAATAATTTTTTATTTGAATTCTATGTCTCTCTAAAATTCAAATAAAAAAAAATTCATCAAATTTGGCTATTTTAAAAACTCAAGTTTTTTAAATAGAAATTTTTTTCAAACTTTGAACAAATATATTTCGACAACTATCAATCAAATTTTGATAAAATTTTTTTTATTTAAATTCTACAGATATTGAATTTAAATAAAAAAAGAAAAATTATCAAAATTAAGTTGATAGTTATCAAGATATATTTATACAAAGTTCAAGAAAAATTCTATTTAAATTTTTTAACTTTGAGCAAAGATTTCTTGATAACTACCAGACAAAATTTAATGAACTTTTCTTTATTTGAATTCTATTAGTTAAATTGAAATTGTTGTAATTTCTATTATTATTTAAAAAATCCAGTTGAAGATAGATTAGTTTGCATTGTAATATAATTTTATTGCAAAATTTACTCACCATTTAGTTTCAATCATATTATATAATATCAAATCACAGAAAAAACAGTATAGGGATACATATATAAAATTTTTAAACCTTCTATATAGCAAATATTTCTCAATAACTATATAATCAAATTTAAAAACTTTTTAATTTTTATACTTTTGCAAAATTAAAATAAAAAGTTTATTAAATTTGGTTTAGTAGTTATTAAGAAACCTTTGCTAAAAATTTAAAAAAAACCATGAAAATAGAAAAAAACCAAAATCAGATAAATTTTTTCATTTTTAAACTTTAAATTATAATTTTCAATAACTATCTATTAAAGTTTAATGAAAATATAGTCTGGTGCAAAAATGTAGATATACTAATTTATTTATAATAAATTTTTTTTTAAATTTAATATAAATATTTAAATAACTTGATTTATTATAGGTTTTGGAGAATATTTAAATATAAATTTTATTAAAAATTTTTATTTCTATAAAAAATTTTATTATTTGCTTATTTTTTCAATTTGTTAAATACAAAAATATGAATATACTAAAATAAAAAAATTAAATTTTATTTATATATATAAGTTTTTTAATTTTTAACTATCTATTTATAATTTTTTTATAATAAATAAATTAAGTTTTTAAACTATCTTTTGATATAATTTTTATTACTCTTTTGTAGATATTTTGTTACATAATATTAGCTTTAAAATTTAGTATTTTTTAAAAAAAAAACTAAAAAATTTCTCTTAAAAAAAAATCATTTTTGTTACAAATATGCATTTTTTTATATTATGCAAATATATTGTTATATATATACCAAATATATAAAAATTTTAGCTTAATTGAATTAACAGTTGTTAAAATACAAATTTTTAAAATTTAATAATAATTACTATATAGAATTACTATATATAGTAATTTGTACAACTTTATTATAATAAATTGGTTTTTAATTCATATTTTAACAACTACTAATCTAATTAAGCTAAAATTTTAACTGCATATTTAGCATATATATAGCAATGCACTTGCATAATACAAACTTATAAGTTGCATATTGGTGGCAAAAATAATATTTCTTTAAAAAAAATTTTTTTCTTTTTTTTTAAAAAAAATTAAATGTTTAAAAAAAAGCAAAAATAAAATAGAGACCCATTTGCATAGCAACCTCATAAAATCAGCTAATCATTTTCGTGATTGGCGATCTATATATAGTAGTTTTTTTTTTTGTATACCGTAATAATTTTTTTTTTTATGCTGTATTGATTTGTTTTTGTTTTTGTTTTTTTTTACTTTTGCTTACAAAGTTTTTTTTTTTAAGCTTGTTGCTTTTTAGACTTGGTTTCGTTGCTGGTGCCATCATTGGTGTCGCAGTTGGTGTCGTTGCTGGTGTTGTAGTTAGGTTTTTGAGATTATGCATTCTTATACTTCCTTCTTTGTGCATTTCTCCAATATGATTCATTCTGGTGTTTGCTTTTTTTATTTATTCTTTTCTCTTCTCTAGCTCATTTAGGGTTTGCCAGAATGTAGAAACAGCAGTTTTTGGTAATTAGTTTTTTGGGATCTTTTTTTTTTTTGTTTTTTGTATTTACTTGGCTTGCTTAGGTTTGTAGATTTCTGATATAGAATCATAGCACCTAAAATTTACCATACATTCAAGTATTAGACATTACAGTCTTGAAGTTATTATGGCAGAAATTTTGACCAAACAAATCACTTGGAGTTTTTTCTTTCCGTCTTTTTTTTTTTTTTTTTTTTTATATAGATATTTACTAACATACTTTTCTCTTTTCGCGGGTTTTAGATTCTTCATTGGGTTTAGAAGTCTTTTACAGGTTTAAAGTATTTTTTGTAACTTTGTTTTGTCACTAGGTTCAGGTGTTTTTTTTTTTTTTGATTATTTTTTTATCTTTTCAGCTTTTTTCATGAGTCTTGAATTTCTTTACGCAGCTTTAAGTGTATCCTTTTTTTTATTGAATTTTCATATTTTTTTTGTTGGTTTTTTTTTGTTTTTTTAACGCTTTTTTTTCAGTCGTCACTGGAGCTATCGTTGAAGTCGTTATTGAGTTGTTGGGGTTTGGGGTTTGGGTTGTTGATGTTTCTCTTTTGGATAAGTGCGTTTCAGATCTGTCTTTCATTATAGAGTATGATTTTGTTGCTTGGTCTAGAGTATGATTTCATTGCTTGGTCTAGGATATGATTTTGTCGCTTTGTCTAGGGTATGATTTCATTACTTGGTCTAGAGTATGATTTTGTCGTTTGGTCTAGGGTATAATTTCGTTACTTTGTTGGTGCTACCTTGAATACAATTTCATTGTTACTTTGTTGGTGCTGCCTTGAATACGATTTCGCTATTTCTTTGTTGGTGCTGCCTTAAATATAATTTCACTGTTGCTTTGTTGGTGCCGCCTTGAATGTGATTTCGCTGTTGCTTTGTTGATGCCGTCTTGAATATGAGGTCATGTGTAGTGCAGTTTCTTCTGGTTTTATTAATGTTGCTTTGAAGTAAGCTATGTGGGTATCATAGCATTGTTATATGAATAAAGAAATCAATTTTATTTTTTTTTTATCTATTTATTTATTATTATTATTATGGTGTAATTATTATATAATAAATAATGTAATATTTATGTAATTTGAGAATTTTTTTTTTATTAATTTAAAAAAACTTAATTTTTTTTGATAGATTACATGATTGAATTCAATTGGCCGATCACAGGTTGCCATAGTGACGGGTCGCTAAAAAATAAAGCTCTTAAAAAAATTAGAACATAATAAATTTATTAAAAAAAAGATAATAAAAATTATATCAAAAAGTAGCTTAAAGCTTTCTTTATTAGATATAAAAAAATTAAGAATATATAGCCAAAATTGAAAAACTTTTATATGTAGACAAAATTAACTATTAATTTTGGTATAACTATATTTTTGCACCAGCCCATATTTTATTAAAACAAAAAAAATTACCTGCAGCTTCTTTTTTAAAGGTATCTAAACTTTAAATAAAAATTACTTAACATTTACCTAATCAAATTTGATCAATTTTTTAACTAAATTTGATCAGAAGTTTAGTTACTTGTAAAAAAAGAAGCTGCAGCTAATTTTTTTTTTTAATATTTCTCAACAACTACCAATTTAAGTTTAATAAATTTTTTTATTTTAATTCTACAAATACAGAATTAAATAAAAAAATTTTATTAAATTTTGAATAAATTATTGAAAAAGCAATAACTTCTTTAACAGAACTTTTTCTAATGATTATCTGGACCAAAATTTTCCACAAAGAAAAAGAAAACTTTTGTTGGAGAGTTATAGTCTAATATAGTGGTTTGCCTAGAAGTCAATAATTTTTTATTCTGGAACTCCTTTATAAGACATACAAGCCAAGAGTATTAGTATACAAGTTAACTGGCAGAAGATAAATACTCTTGGATACAAAATCTTAATAGAGCAATATTTGTCTTCTCTATCGACAAAGTTACTTAGACTATTACTTTTAGCAAAAAGAATATAGAGAAAACAACAGAAGTTTGTTTTTTTTTAAACTATACTTTTTTATTTGGCCAAGTAGTTTATTTTTTACTTTTACTCATTTTCTTGTCAATCTTTTCAAATTTTTTATAGAGATTTGGCTTATCTCTTTCAAAAGATCAGCATTATTTACTTTCCAAATTTAGATAGTATAGTGGAACACAATCATGTATTTATAGATATAGAGCTACTATACAGAACTGGGCCCCTGGCACAAAATCTCTAATAGTGGTAGCAAGTAGTTTGAGATACAGGTTTATAGATAGTGGCAGCATCTGGCTAGAGATACAGATTAGGACAGACTCAAATGAAGTCATCTAAAGTTAATCAAAAAGTCAGAAAGAAAAATTTAACATAAAAATAAAGCTTTATAATAGAGATATACAAATATTGCATTTGTTATATAATTTTTATTTTTGCTTGGCATAAGCTATAATAGTGCACTTATTATAAATTGTTTTTTTTTTCCTTCTACTTTTTTTTTTTTTTTTTTTTTATGTTTTCTTGGTCGTATTATTGTGGTATTTATATAGGTATTTTTTCTATTTTGAACTTCTTCTTTTATTTTTCTTTAATCTTAAAGTTTTTTTATATAGTTTAGAAGTTTTTCTTTCTACATGGAAAGTTAGAAAAAGAAGGTTTAGAATTAAGAAAAGAGAAGACAATTATAGTAAGCAGGACATAAATACCTTCTAGTGAAATATTGAGTTTTTTAGTTGCAGAAAAATAATATAGAGAAAAAGTTTACTATAGCAGATCAAATATAGGTAAATTGAGCATACGGACATTCGATTTGATTGGCTTGAAGATCCCTGAGTTACACAATATAAATAAAAATTTTTAAAGTAATCTTTACTATGTAAAACCATATCGTCAATTGGCAACCCGTGGTTTTACATAATAAATTTTTTTTAAAGTATATTATAACATTCTTTAGCTCTACATACGTCTTCTGTAAAAAAAGATCAGTATAGATCATTATCACTAAAAACTTTACTTAGTGAGCAAATTCAGGCAAGTAATATGGTAATATGGTAATACAGTATATAACAAGTAAGTTAATTGTATATTAAACTTTTTCTTTGCTTCCAAACTTAAGTTTTTTCTATTGATCCAAGCAACTAACGACATGGTAATACTTTTAGTTCATATTCAGAACATCCCACCTGTCCTTTATTTTATGCTGCTCTGGGCTTTGGCATTATTTTTAAGGCAGTATAGATTAACGAATATTACAGAGCTTAATTATTAAACGAACATATGGGCAACTGTACAAATAGATGTTTAAAATAATTTTTTATTATAACATTTTAGATGGGATGATTTTGGAATAACCAACCAAGAACCCAAAAGATGGTAACTACAGGATAGTTATAGAGTATACAAAGCAGAGAAGTCTCAGAAAATTGTTAGATAGTATTAAATTGGGCTTCTAAAGTAGCTAATTTATATTATAGCTAGAGAGCTTAATACGATTCATAAAGCCGATTTAGTGTACAAAGATTTTCATTTCAGCAATATAGGTAATCGTTCTTATATTACTGATTTTGATTTATATAAGTTAGTGTTACAAGCTCAAATTCCAAAAAACTTTTTGGTATACTTCCGTATATTGCTCCAGAAGTACTATATACAAATAGAAAGAAATATACTCAAAAATCAGATATTTATTCTTTTGGAATAATTAAATCAGAAGTTTTTACTAGATATCCTTCATTTCATGGTATTCCACACAATGAAAATCTAGCAACATGTATTTGTCTTGGCTATAGGCCCAAAATTAAATACGAAGCTCCTCACTTACTTTTGGATCTGATGAATAAATGCTTAGACACAGAACCTTGAAACAGACCAATTGCTGAAGAATTAGGTTGTATTAATTTTTTATGATTTGGAAGATGAAGAAACTAAACTATATAAGCAAGTTAAAAATATTAAAGACTTAGACAAAAATTTCTTTATAATCAAGTCAAATCGGCACAATTCAAATATCAGACACATCTATAAGATATTTATACAAGCCGATTTTTGAATATTTCAAAACTCCTAGACCAGGTAATAATACTTATATTTTTTAAAAAGTTAGTAATATGTTATTTGTAAAAATTTCTAAATCTGTTAATATGGGACCTTTTCTAGGAAAATCACCCTTTGACTGGCAAATTCAGACAAACTTAAACCAGAATATTGGTTCTTATTTACATGTAAATCAGCCTTTACTTTATTGATTCTATAGTTTATTAAATAAACTATAGAATCAATAAAGTAAAGGCTGATTTACATATAAATAAGAACTGAGTAAGGCAAAGATTGATTTCGAAGAAGAATATTCATAAACAGACATTCGTCTGATTGGCTGATGTAAATCAATTGCCGAGTAACTTATTTATACAGTTTAAAGTACTTTTTGAAAACGTAACGTTTCACTACAGCACTAATAAAAAATCACTGCAAAAGCCATTTTTCGCTTTGTAAGAACGTTTATATTCACCATGCAAAAATAATCAAAAATAATCAGTAACTACAAGAACTTCACTTAGAAGCAAAT